CGGTAATACCGTATTACTGACATTTCAGCTAAGGTTATGCTGGTTGAATCCATTGCATTTGGCAAATTCATTTTAGTTATTTTTGCATAATGGTGACCATAAAATATTATATACTAGTAACACATGACATGCTAACCTACATCTGATTCAGTTTTTCCCTTCCTCACACTTTTGAAATGACCCTGAGGAAATGACTATAATCCAAATCAAAGACAACTAAGATGGTGACAAATAAGGGAAATATGTTACAGAGTGTTGTAAGTACATGCACACTATATAATGTAGCTAACACCTCCAAATGTATTAAATATAGTTGCTCCAGATATGACGTCAGTGGCTGAAGCTAATGGACACTTTAGAAAGACCTGGAGCTGACATCTCATGACTGAGTGTGGATTAAACAAGACACCCTTGGCCTTCTTATGAGTGAGATCTCCTCTATGGTAAAGGTCAATCTAGTCGACATAATCTAATGTCACCTTACCCAAGAACTGAAGGTGACATCTCCAGCACATGGAATACAGTTCTGCGTCACATGGTTGCTTTGAGATGCAAGCTTTCTAATCATACTTTAGTGATTCCTATCTCACCATAATTAACATCCCTCTGTATTCTTGTGCCTTTACAACAAGACTATTGCTTCAGTACATGACTCTGATAACTCATTGCGCTGAAGGTATAATCTAATTTCCAGCCTGTCAGTCAATCGACATGCTGAATACACCAGCTCTACTTTTAGACTAGCAACATTGATTAATGCAGAGTCCAATCTTCAGACATGGTAAATGAATCATGCCTGACCCAAAAATTTCAATAGGCAGATGTGCACAGAATTCCAAAAAGAAGCAAAAAGGATACACTCAAGTCTCCATTTCTTTTGCATTGGACTAAATTCCACTGACAAATTTCATCAGTCATAGCTAGGTTGCCTTCAACTAACATCAGCACTCCAAGACAGTCACATTTATTTCAAGATTTTGCCTTAGCCAACTTGAAGCCAAACCAGTAGACAGTCTGAAATGTATTGGCTAGCAATCATCTGTCTATAAGGACTGCCTGGACATAGTGGCTACTTTTTGGTGGTCCCTTATTAGATTTAGTGAGGTATGATTAGCTTTCTGTTTATAGTGACTAGAATTGCCCACCTGCCCATAGTGACTGCTTTTGCTGTATCCACTGAGCAGTCGCTATATACATATCAAGTTCGTGGTTATAATGGTTGCAGACAATTCCTATTGATAATTGACATGCACCTTTTCACAATCATAGATTACAAGTTAATTGGGACAAATAGGATATCAGGTGTTTGTCTACGTGTTAACCAGAACCAATCAGAATGCAGCAGTTGGAAAGCAGATCCCAAGCCTGGCCAGGGCAGACAGACAGGTCCCACCACCTGACACAGTCTGATGATAATTGACCTTTTCCAATTATAGGCCCTGAGAGGGTTGGTAAAGGAAAAGGCCTGCTCCTCATTACACACACTGCCAGATGCAGCTGTCCGTGGGCCCCAGGACCTTTTCAGAAAATATCAACTGTAGGAACTCAGATGTACTGATGTGCTCATTCATAAGCAGCTGATGATCTTTTTTAGTTCGCTACTTTGTAATAACACATGTGACGACTTACCAGACACCTACACATAAAAAATAGACAATTTCTAAATCAACAGCGACAAAACAGAGAAAGAATGTATAGATATGAATTTCCATTGTATTATTGTATAAATGCCCAGGATGTTCATCTCAGACTGTATGTGTAATGTTGCAAAATGAAATTGCTATCCAAAGCTGCCAAAATGTAATACATGTACAAATAGCTCTTGTCTTGTTTGATTGCATCAAACAAACGACTTTTCAAAAGAGAATTTAAGGTTTGACTAGAATGCATATACACACACATGCATTGAACTAATTACTTTTCAAGTGAGAAGTCCAGGTTAGGACTCGTCAATCACCCAAGTCAACTGTTCATGACTGAAGGAATGGTACTCAATGGCATTGTTAAAACCTGCCTTCAAATCCCAGGGAGACATATTAAACATGTCTTTGCATATGGAGGGAAACAGATTGTTTCTTCAAGCATTTTGATCCAATGGCCCTCTAAAAGGTGTCATACTTTGGTTCCAATCGATATGGAATTTGTACTGTCAGTATAACATTTTATCAAGTATAGACTTAGTAGTAACTTAGTACAAGCATGTACTGTGACACAACTGTCCTGAAAAAAAGTATTGGCATATTATGCAAGGATAAGCTAGTCCTACTGGAAAGATAGTATCTAGACGACCCTGGTGGTTGTATAGCCTCAGTGAAGGCTGTCTTGTATAGGTCCGTCAATCCACAACAACACTTTGTAACCAGGTAACCTGATGAACACCTGCGGCTTACTCCATACAATTGGAAAATGATTGACAGCAGCAAGACACTTCTATCATGTCATCCTACATCATTTGTACTATAGTCTGCAGATCTTTTCAAATAGTACCAGAGGGCTAATACTACTACTTACTGCTAAACCTGCTTTTCTTTCCAAGGGGTAGTTTCTCACGAGAAAGTCCGTGCCGTCTTGTTTTTCTGATGCCCAGGCATAAGGCAGCAGAACAATGTAGAACTACTAAAAGGCCTTTAAGATAATACTCTATTACACTCGACAAGAAAAACTAACTACTGTACTCCTTTGCAGAAATTCATCACAGAATGAAATGATAAGACAAACAAAAGAACACATGACAGAAATGTTAGAATATTTGGGATAATCTATCAGGTACCTGTGAACTGAAAGAGGAAGAAGCACGTAACTTAATTTAATAAAACCAGTTACTGTGTACAGTAGGTCAATTGCATTTTGCCAATTGGTAGGTATCTAGTAGACCTTTTAAAGGCACTGTTCTACCAAGCAATATTTTCTATAACCTACTTTCCCTGTTTGCCAAACTTGAAAGATTATGCACAAGTAGCAAAGATTTTGTCACTTTCTCAACTTTTGCAGACAGATCTGAGTCTGACTATGAAGCTCTTTCAGTTTCATGTCTGACTCATCTCTGCACGGCTGACTTGCTGTTCATTGTAGCTTGACCAGAATGCCACTGTTCTGTTGCAAGAGCAAGATAGTCACTTCCATGCACCAATGGAAGTGTCCATGCAGGCCTTCAAAATGTCTATCTTAGTCCTGTTCTCAGAAATTGTGCATGGACTTGTGATTTTCCTTGTACCTGTACTTGGTTGTCAGATTAGTATATAACAGTAAAATATATAATCATTACATATTTAGTACATTTAGTTCTATGTTAACATGATTTTCCTTGTAGTTTTGGAACACCTGGTCGCCAAGCTCGCAATTGTGAGGAAGAAAATGGTATTCAAAGTTATAACCTTACATAACTGTAGGATCTGCCTAATTTAGCATACAAAATATGCCAAAATGCTGTCATCTATCATTTACAAGACAGTAACTTAAAGATAACCATTCCTAACATGCCCCAACATTAAACTTCTTATCTGATTACAAAGATAAGGGGAACGATTGACTGGAGTCTTTGGCTTTGTTCTAAGGTGAACTCCACATACTATAGCATGAACACTCCATTTCCCAGCCAACAGAAGTGACTGACTACTCAACATACCATACATCATCGAAATTACACACTTGGTGGCCCCAGTATAAAAATGTACAAAATGGAAATTTCGCACTTATGGTTGTACTAAGGTTATTTGTACCCATCCGCATTATCCTGTAGTAAGGTGGACAATTGTGCAGCTGTTGAATCTAATAGAAGACCAATCTGGCTGATTTTGCCGTCCTTTTCCATCTTGATTATGAGATTTGAAGTTACATGTAATATTCTTTGGAAGGTAGGTAGGTGTCGTTAGTTTGACATACTTGTATGTATCAAATATGAGTGACATTGAAAGGTTATTTCCTTGTGTGAAAAGCCAAGCTGCTGTAGTTGTAATAATTTTGATATGACGTTGACATATTACCGTCAAGCACATTTACAAGTGCTATAGAAAAAATCAATAAGGGTAGTACTAAACCTTGCCTGAATGAGACCAAGCCTGGGTAACCTGAATAACAGAAACATGTATTGTGTATTCTAAAAGCTTCCCTGTATTACTTTGATGTACATGCTAGTACATGTAGTATTATGATAGAGTGAACTACTACATGTATAAGTCTTTAAACTTAATCCAACAGTAAGAATGGTGATACTATGGCTATGGGTGAAAATTTGTTCTCGCCATGTATCGGTCTTATCTGACAGCTTATCTGAATGCTAACAAATTTTGTTGTTTTAAGGTTTGAACGACCTCTGTGGGTTATAATAAAATTGATGTGAAATAATCTACATCAAGAAAAAACATTGCAACCAGGTACAAGTAATAAGCATAAAACAAACAAATCACAAAATCTGAGAGAAAAATGTAACGTTACTGACTTGAGAACAAACACAGGTAATCATTTATCCACAAGATCTACAGAGAATGTGACAGGATCCTAAAAGGGTTTTGTACACGATGACAGCCGGTCTGTACTGCCTCATTCTGTTTCTGTCGCACGCTATGAGTTTTCAAGGAGAATGGAAGATGCTGTGTGCTTGAGGAAAAGAAAGGAAATGTGTAAATGATTAACCGTAATCGCCTACATAGCACCCAGTAATTTTCTGGGGCAGCTCTGTGTTACCTGGATTGTGCTGGTTGCCAGGGAGTAAAGTGAAGCAAATGTAAACAGTGCAAACAGCACCATCTACCATCCCTAACATGGTCATACATCTTGCTTCAGCACACTGGAACAGTTGTTCCACTATGTCCACATACAGGAGAATGTTTCTCACAGCTAACACTCCATGACGTCTTTGTAGGCCAACTTGCCGGACTAAGAAAAAACAAAACCAGCTTATCAACATCATCTTTCGCTGTCGACAAACAAAAGGACTTCTTTCCAAATGGTTGATGTCTGATGAAGACCAAAAACTGTTTAATATAGTTCAAAAACATAATGTACCCTGTTTTTTTAGTATTTCCCCATCATGTATAAAAAGAAGATAAAGTTTGGAGTTTTTGTTGACTTCTGTTATTGGGCAGAAATGGTGCAGAACAAGAATGCCTGCAGGCCAAAGTAAAGGGTTTGGTGAGTGATGTTTGAAAAGTTAGGAATGCCAGCGTTGACAGAGTGGTTGTGTAACTAAGATGGGGGCATACTCAAGCCATTTGAAAAGTCTCAACGACCCTTCAATAGACAGGGAGACTTTCGTACATTACTTCTGTCCAGTGAAACAATAATTATATGTTTACAATTATACACCATTTTTTAATATTCGAAGTAAAAATTTGTTCTGGCACATGCCAACTTGTTTGAATGTAGCTATGAAAAAGTGCAGCAATTTTAGTTTGAATGATACTGTTGGATAATCCATCCAAACATGATTATGTTAAGCTACATGTATATTTGCTTGTCAGCATTTTTGAATGAACTATATGCAGTTTGCACTTGGATACCATAGTAGTTTCTAGGTTAACCAGCGATTTCAACATGTCTACGAAGCTGGTGGGTAACTGTGGAGCCATCTACTTACACTTAAGTGTTTATCAAAATTCACCACAGGGGTGAGAGAACAGGTGCAGCTCACACTTTGTGGCTTTCACCCCACATACTTACTAACATATAAACAGAATGCTCTTAGTACTGACAATCTTGATCACCTTCTAAGCTGACCAATTCTTCCTTCACAAACAGAAAACAAATCTAGTAATGTTGAATTACAAGTATTTATAATACATTTATATAACGGGGATAGTAAATGTCTCACCTGTCCTTCCTTGACAACCACGTGGACTCTGTTTGGATTAAGCAAGTTTTTCAGTGTCCTCTCCACGCTGTTGCTATACTTCATGAAGAGCACATAAAGCACATATATCGTCAGCAGACACAAGCTTTCCCACCACAGGATCTCCCCGTTGTGGAAAAACAGGATGAGGACACCGAGGCTCAAAATGTAGAAGCAGGTGTCTCGTAACAATGGCCACCAAGTCAATGTCAAAACCTCCTTACTAAAGACTGCACATGCCCCGATCACAAAAAGGATGTTAAAAACAGCAGATCCCACGATTGTCCCCGTGCCAACGTTGCCCGTGGCAAAGAAGACGCCAAAAAGGCTGAGGAAGAACTCTGGTGCGCTGCCCCCAGCTGCCATGAATGTGGCGCCTGCAACGTCTTCCGAAATCTCCAGTTTTTCCACGATTACAGTCAGGGCAGGGACAAAGAACTCGTCGCAAACCACTGCCATGCCAGCAAACATGTACATCATTCCCAAAATGTGTAAGATAACAGCACCATTCCTGCGGGCAGCCAGGTCAAAATGTCGGGAGGATAAACTCCTTTCCTGATAGGATCTTCAGTGGTATTGCTAATGCTACTGTTGGAAGTGGAGTTAGTGGACAGAATAGTTCTGGACTTGAAGGTTACATCTTGCCACCATTGTCTGCTTGTCTCTTTTTCCTTCATCTGTTGCAGTGCTTATGCTGAAGAATAGACACAAGTATCCCACCGTGACTACAGCCAACGTTCCTAACATACGGTCCCATTTTGCTCTCCTAGTGTATCGCATTTGTCTCATTGTAGATGTATGTGCTGTCCAGCGCTGCTTGAGAAGTCATGGCAAGGCTGGGAAATTACTCTTCCATCAGGTGAAGACTTTCTGTGTTGGGATCTGGCTCTTGCAACCCTTGAATTCCTGCAGATGATCATCTCCTCATCTGTGTTCTCTTGCTAGGATGTAGTGGTGCCATAACCAATCTTTAGTTGAAACTTGACTAAGTTGGTGCTGAAATCCCTGGCATTTTGTCTTGCAAACAGGTGGCCTCAAACCTGAAAATACCAAAAGGAAGGTTAAAGAATTGAAAACAGAAAACATAATGATCAAC